TAAAAGCATTATTCTGAGAAGTGATCCCTGGGCTTCACACAATGGCCAAAGTGCTCATAGCCACGGTAAGAAGTTGCTGTTTTATTCCAGGTGGGAGGGAGGATGCTGCAGTGGTTTCAGTAGGGGATTCACAGGATGCCGTTTTCATTTTTTAAAATCCCCGGGCTGCTGGGGGAGATGGTCTGTGGTTCTCAGTGCAATGCTGAGGGGGAGGCGTCCCTGGGTCCCCAGGGGCTCCATCCTTCCCTCTGATCAAGAGCCTTCCCACACGGCCCTGTGGGCCCAAAAGGGCCTTGACACCTTGGCCCAAAGCCTGCCCCGGGACATCCTCCCAAATAGCTTTAGAAAGTGAGCTCATGCATCCACAAGAAAAATAAATGCGGCATTTGCCACTGTTTGGTTTGTGTATTGGTCTAGAAAAGAAATGAGATTTTTATTTAAGAAAGCCTTCCAGCAGGACCCCAGCAGAGGCTGGGCAAACACCAGGGCGACGGACTGTAAACACGCGGGAAGGCCGGAGCGCTGGGGCCCGTCGCCGCGAGCTGCAGCCCCCGGGTTTATGGCGGCCTTCCTGTTTTCCCCGGCCCCTCTGCACACTGCCCTCACACACAGAGTCTTTTCAATGCCCTCTAGGAGAACAGAAGAATTCATTTTCACACACCAGCACGCACGTTTCTCACACCCTCCCAGGGGAGTGGACCCTGCCAAGTGGCCCGTTTATGGACCTAGCTGGACAGAAGGGGATGGGGCCCATGGGGTGGGCGCGACAGATGGAGGAAAGCCCAGAGGCAAACCCTATGCTCCTGGGTCCCCCAAACCGGAAGTGAGCGGATGAGGCCAGGCCAGCTGGAAGGGGAAGGGCATCTGGGGCACTTCTGGGGCCATGCCTGGAGCCTCATGGGGAGCAGGGCTAGAGCAGGGGCCCTGAGAGTAGAGGGGCCGGGGAACGAAACCCCATAGAGCCCGCTCACCTCAAAGCATCAGAATCTGTGTGTCAGAGAGGAAGGGTGCGCTGGGTCTCTAAATCTGGAACTAGGCTCAGTGAGAAGGCAGGCAGAAAGTGAGGCCTCCACACTGCTGGCATGAACTGTGTCAGAAGAGGGACAGTCCTGGAAGGGCCAACTGCACCAACTGCCCAGGCCAGCTCAGCTGCCCCTTCCCCAGGCCTTTGGATAGGGGGACAGCAGGCTTTTTTTAATTCCTTTCTTTTTGAGGAGGGGTCCTTTTTGTTTGTACCCCTTGGCATTTCTGGTGGTTTCTCCAGCACGTGGTCATGGTCCCTGGTATATAAGGGAGGCAACAAAGAAAACCCAGGAGCTCAATGGCACATCATTCTTCCCATCCTCGAGTCTCAGCCTCTCCCTCCACCTTCCGTAATCTTCTTTTTTGGGATTCAGTGGGGGGGGGGCTTTTTTTGGGAAGGGAGAGGTAATTAGGTTTATTTATTTATTTATTTTTAACAGAGGTTCTGGAGGTTGAACCCAGGACCTCGTGCATGCTAAGCGTGTGCTCTGCCACTGAGCTACATACCCTCCCCACCCAGTATCTTCTTATATTTGCTTAATACGCGATGACCAGAGCTCTGGAGCACCTTTGGCAGGAGGGATAGGAAACAACGTATCTACTCCATCTTGTCTGGAACAGGAAGACCTATGTTTCATGTTTGTGTTTTCTATTGCTAAGAAACACATGAATCACTACAGCAAAATATTAAATGTCTTCAATCCAGATGGCAGATACACAAATGTTCCTCGTATTACTCTCAATACTCTTCCATTTATTTAAAATGCTGTGTTCACTCACTCACACGACTTCATTCACTCTTCACTTCACTCATTTGTCCAACTGCTGTGCACCTGCTGAAAGCAGACACCAGGTACACAGCGATGAATTTAAAAGATCCTTTCCTGAAGAGCCTCTCACACTTGAGGGGCAAACAGACATCCAATAATAGCTGGGGTTGGGGGAGGTGTTGCTCTGACAGAAGGGGACAGGATGCTTTGAAAGACCCTGGCCGGGAGCTAATTTAAATTCCCCTGCAGACCTGGCTGTGCCCACGGAGTACTCTGGCACCACCACCTGCAGGCAGTTAACCTGAAGGCAGAGAAGCAAACAGGCCCCACAGGCAGGGCCCCCCCGGTTGAGCCTGGCCCTCATGCAGTCACCCCACGTCTCTGCACAGCTTTCCTCTCTGGCAGCTCCTGTCCTCCTACTTCAAGCTCTCTCTTCCAAATCAACACCTCAGCAGGCCTCCTGGATCAGCCCTTCAGCTCTGAGGTTGACTGGGAGCCATTCCCTGGGGCCCGCTGGGCTCAGCATCCAGGAAAGGCATCTGGTGAACTTGTCGCACTGGAGGAAGAGGATGGAGAAGGGGGCTTGACCCCCCGGGGATAGCGAAGACCACGGCATCTGAGGCCACCCATTCCCACCCCAGGCCCTACTCTCTACACACCAAAATTAGCATGAAGAACAAAATGACCCCAGGAAGGTAATGGCCAGAATCAGGGGGGCTCTCCCTCCTCTATGCTCCCTGTAGGCCACTTGTGAGTTGTCAGTGGCCAAACCCTTCCCCACATTCTCCCAGCCCCAAAGAAAGAGCTCCCCTTCTCTCCCATCCTTCCCATGTGCCTCCAGATCTTGGGGAGATGTGTATCGAACACCCAACACAGGAGGGGACCAGCAAAGTGAGAGCTGTTGTGCATTCCAGAAAGAAAGTTGAGTGCTAAGGGGAGTGGGTCCCTGGCTCCAGCAAAGCCCTTTATACACATGGTCTCATATGACTGGGTTCATGATCACCATTTTCAGCTGAAGAAACTGAGGCTCAGCAAGATTAAGGAGCTTGTCAGGTGGCTGGGAGAGAGGGTGGGATTTGAACCCAAGTCTGCCTGGACCCAGAGGCCCTGATCTCTTAGGCCAACACTACTCTTGGCCCCAGGAACATCGTGGGAATTCCAACCTGAGGTTTTAAGGATGGAGGGTGGGTTTGAGGACATCCCCATCCCTGAGCACTCTACCACTTCCCTGCTTACATCTGCCTTCAAGGGGTGCACAGGGCTTCTTTTATTTCATAAACGCCAATTAAGGGAGCTCCTCCTCCGTGCTGGGCACGTGGGGCGCACAGAGCGAACAGTCATCATCTGTTGTCACAGCACAACCAAAGAATCTGGAGGGGGTGCCCCAGGGCGAGAACTGAGCAGGTCTGGTCCCGCATGTAGGTCCCGCCTGGCCTGGGAAACTGGCGGAGGCCAGGCCACGTGGAGAAGCCATTCAGAACAGCTAAATGGTTCTGAGTGGCCTCATGTTCCTTAGCAAGCACAGGGCAGTTCACCCAAAGCCCCGGGCAGAAGCTGCAAGGACAGCTGGGCCTGCAGAGTTCTAGGTAACAGGGCCATCCTGTGTCCACACTGCACAGATCTGAGTATAATAACAAGAGCTTGGCCTGTCTATGACCTCCAGCAGTTAGAGCAGATAAGAGGACATCACACAACAAGGGGGCACGCTCCACCCCGGGGCACGCTCCACCCGGGGCACACAGGGGAGAAGGGCTGGGGGCATCCAC